CCCTCCCCGGCCCTCCCCAGGGGCCACCATCCACAAACGTCACGGCAGGGTGCCAGCGCTGGCGGGGAAGCAAACCCCGAGGCGTCTCGGGCACAGCTCCCACCGCGGCATCACCTCGGCAGAGAGCGGTGATGCCAGCGCTCCCCGGGGAGCCGCGGTCCCCAAGGACGGGTGGCCGCGAGGTCCGTCGGGGCAGGGGGAGGCTCACATGATGGTGCATCGGTTCCTGCGCAGGGCACCCTGGAAGCGGATGGTGGTGTGGACGTGCTTGCAGCGGGCGCAGCCCACGCTCTTCAGGAGCTCGCTGAAGAGCAGCAGGATGTGCCAGTTGTACTTGGCCGAGCACTCAATGTAGCCGCACTTCCACGTCTTCTTCACCAGGTTGGACACGTTCCAGCGCGGGATCACCCGGCCCCGCTGCAGGTCCCGCTTGTTGCCCACGATGATGATGGGCGTCTCCGAAGTGCCGATGACCCTGGGGAGGGCGGGTCGTGAGGGAAGACAGAAGGAGTCAGGGCACAGCGCAACGACCGACCGGCCTGCAGACCCCAACCCGCCCCAAACCGGCTCTTGGCTTTCATAGAATCATAGAATCACTAAGGTCGGAAAAGACCTCTAAGATAATCAAGTCCAGCCATCAACCCAACACCACCATGTCTGCTAAACCATGACCTGAAGTGCCTTATCCACACCTTTTTTGAACACCTCCAGGTATGGTGACTCCACCACCTCCCTGGGCAGCCTGACTGCTCTTTCAGTAAAGAAATTTTTCCTAATATCCAGTCTAAACCCCCCCTGACACAACTTGAGGCCGTTGCCTCTCGTCCTATCGCTGGTTACTTGGCGGAAGAGACCAACACCCGCCTCACTACACCCTCCTTTCAGGTAGATGTAGAGAGCAATAAGGTCTCCCCTCAGCCTCCTCTTCTCCAGACTAAACAGTCCCAGCTCCCTCAGCTGCTCCTCATCAGACTTGTTCTCCAGAGCCTTCACCATCACTTTGGCTTGCCAAGAGGGACGCGTCTCCTCTTGGCCTGTCCCCTTGTCCCTCTTCGTGGCCAGCCACCCACCGTGCCAGCCCCAGTTGCCTTCCCAGGGATGGCTGCCCTCACCCGCAGGGGATATCTGCCCGGGGTCCTGCTCCTTCTCCTGCCCTCAGGTTTGGTTTTGTTTTTGCTTTTGGGCTTCCAGCCCAAAGCTGCTTTGCCCCAGTCTTTATTGTCTCATCTCCAATGTCAAGAGCAGGAGAGCGCTGGGGCGAGCCGTGCCGCCCCACCGGGAGCCGCGGGGTGTTGCATCCTCTGGAGAAGCGGTCCCTACCTTGTTTCCAGGATCTGCTGGCGGATGGTTTTGATGTACTCGAAGCTGTCAAAGCAACAGATGTCATAGACCAGGATGTAGGCATGGACGCTCCGGAGCCCCCTGCAACACACGTCCGCCCACTCCTGCAAGGTGCAGAGAGGGATCAATCCTGGCTCGGCCCCGTCGCCGTGCCCGGGGGATGCCCCGCACCGCTTTGGGGCCGGGCACACCAAGGAGCAGGTAGCAAGGGGTCTGCATCCTCTCCAGCCCCGCCAC